GATCGCCTTAAGTAGCCAAGGAGATCTCCATAGGGCAAATATTCAAGGATAATGCACATTGGGCCTATAACAATATTATAGTAAGGAAAACATCCTTTTTTCGAGCAGAGWTTGGGGACATGCTTTCCAAACTTTTCTACTTTTAGCATTTAGTAAAAACTAATGTATGACTTACCATCAGACTTCGTGCAGCACCCTAATAGTTTAACAACATGAGGGTGGAGTTCCAGTCTCATCATCAGGCGAAGCTCGGTGAAGAAGTCTTCTTTATCCTTTTCTGCTACATTCTCTAATTGGATAAAAAGGAATGCCACCTCAGAAGAAACTAAAGTTAACTAAAGAAGAGAAGTACTCTCTGAATTAAGTATTGTTATTTGCACGAACATTAGAGGCGATTTCGTATGAGTGGGAAACGGCGATGACGAATCGCGTCCGTGCCGTAACTGTATCGTAGCTGTATCGTATTCTTGGATTCTGATTGGTTGGCATTTTTTTCTGTTCACACCTGATTGGATTGATTTGTATGTACCGTAGTTTTCCGAACCGTAAGTTCGATTGTTGATTGGATGAAGCCGACACTTGCCGTATCGCGCGTTACGGTACCGTAAGCTGTACCGTAAGTTCGATCGTTGATTGGGTAAATACGGTGCTCGCGTGATACMGTMCTTTAGCCGTATCGTAAGCGTGATTCCTGATTGGCTGAGAGACTTTCTACTGACAACTGGTCTACGTCATCTTGTCACACAACACTAGTTCCTGAATTCTCGCCACCTGTTTTTGCGAAGTTTTCGAAAGAAAATAAGATCAGAAAAGCCTTTTAAGGGTGAATGTCAATGGGAATCAGTTTTTTGTAAGTAGAGATTTTATAAAATGACTGGCAGATGTTGATATTTGAAGATTATTATATCAATATTCCTCTATTTTTTCGGCATTTCGAGACCTCAGTGTCGATTTGTTGAGAAAGTGTAGTCTTGGTATCTTGATGCCAGCTTGATAAAATGATCTTTTTGATAAATAAACCAGTTGAATTAGCTTTTGTTTGTATTTATTTGAGCACTTTTAGGCAGGGAGAATATTTGCAATTCATTGTGTGAAAGTTTTTAGTTTGTCAAACTTTCCGCATTCACTCGCGCGTGACATGTTCAGTCGGTAATTTTCAAGCATTACTTGAATTTTTTTGTACTGCTTGCTTGACAATACCACTTAAATGTTTTGTTGGGAAAATTAGCCTTTTTTTTTCGTTGTGATTATCATTATTTCTTGCGATTAACTTAAGAAAGGATCGAAGGAATCCGTATCGTAGCCGTACCGTAGTGGTATCGCGTCAGCATCGGTTTCCCACTCATACGAAAACGACTCTATTATGCTTTTACTGCATTGAAGTACTAGAATTCGCGTTTAAAAATTGGTTTTACAAGCCTTTGTAATGGCTTCGTGTATTTTCTTATAAAAGAAGCATTTGGAATTTGATGCATCCGAGAAACGTATCCTTACTTTTGAGAGTCTTCACAGCAACTGTCACCTGGGCAGGGCATCCATACAAGCCAATAGCCGCTGCTTTATCAACACAACCAAAGTTTCCACTACCAAGTCTCTTGATAACTGATAGGTTTTTTCTTGGTACTTCCCATAAGGTTTCATCAAGGACGAAAGCATAAAGATCATCAGTGCTTTCTCCAGTGAAATCACCAAGAATAATTGCTTGGTCGTATGCCTTGCCAACAGGAGCATGGCCTTCTTTCTATCAATTAATTTATTACAAACTCCAATCATCAGCTTAATAAACGCTCACGGTTGAATCAGGACCACTTCAAAAAACATAAACCATTTGGATGTAATATTCTTAACATGAGCAATAGCCACTTTAAGATGCTTTTAAGATGCTTCAAGTATTGTTTTTGATGAATCCCACTTGTTCATCTTCGGTTGTCGAATTTATAGTCCTCGTTTCAGATTTGTGTGCCATTCTTTTGTCATACTTAGCTTACCTCTTCAGAGTTGCTTTGTCTCATCATTATTCCTCTTCTTCGCAGTATATAAACCACAATAAGGACAGCAACAACCAAAAGAGCCACAGCGAGCATTGACGCAAGGACAGGAACAGTAACATCAGCCGATGTTTTGACGTAACTACCTTTGTCACTGGTTGCTCCTCCTCAAGAATAAATAAAAAAAATCTGACACTCATTACAAGTTTTGAAAAGAGGCGCATACAATGACGAAAAACTCTCACACAAGCTTTGTATAATGGATAAAAATCGGATATTGGAAGAATGTTTCTCGCTTAAGAAGAAAATAATTTAGCTATGACTTGACTAGCTGACCTTGGTCTGTCAAGTTTCATTTTCTCCGTACAAGGTGTAGTTTTGGTCACGAAAGGCAGAAAAAAACAAACACAAGAACAAATCTGCACATCGCCTCGCGAGCAAAGATGAACAGCAAAAAATGGTGCACACATATTGAGCAAAACGCTGATCAAAGTGCAACTCCCTTACGCACTTCCTATCGTGTACGGGGGGCTTTAAGATGGCGAGAATATGGCGCAGCTTGCCTGGTATTTCATACATCCTCAGTTTACAAATAGCTGTACCTTGATTCATGGTGACTTTTTTACTACTGATACGTCCTAAACCTCGTTTTGTAGCAGCTCGAACCTGTATACAACTATCATGTTGTCAATAAACAAAAAACTTTGTAAAAATCACTGTTTGAATGTTACCTTGATGTAGTATTCTATTCCCATAGTAAGTCCAGTGATGGCGATGCTGCTTTCAGTAGTGTTCAAGAGGTATTTATTTGACTCGTCTGCAACAGGATAGTAGCTGATTTGATAGAAAATTATTATTCCATTTTTCTGTGTCAACGTCCATCTCACAAGCACAGAAGTGGAACTCATGAATGTTATTTTCAAAGATGGTGGACCAGGGACTGAAAGTGACAATTGCATACAATGAACGTTTTCAAATTGATGATGACTTTATGAGTCAGCTAAATTTGGCTTAACTTACTGGATTCACTTGTTCTTTGTAGTAATGTTGCGTACTTTGGCTTTTCGCCATTCTTCTCTGCTAAATRTGTGACTCCATTSTTTGAAAACACTTTGAWYTGGTARTAWGTGTAGGKAGAGAGATTTTTTGCAGTGGCGCTATTTGTTTCTTTTGGAAAGTGGATGACTTCGGCACCCTCACAACTATTAATGCATGTCGTGACTTCATTATTACACTTTTTACATTCGATTACATAGTACTCGTCTGATCTTCCACCGAGATGGGAAGGTGTCTTCCATTCTATGACAGCTAAGGTTGCATTTAGAAATGTTGCCCTGATATCTTGAGGTGCAGATGGTTGTGCTGAAAATCACAACCAGAATATTACAAGACGTTTGGATATTTTTTCTCCATTTGGCTAACTTTGCCCAGGGTATTACAAGACGTTTGGATATTTTTCTCCATTTGGCTAACTTAAATTTTAGAACGAGATCATCATTGCTTGGGAGGACTTTGCAGTTTCAGACCTACCGGTGCAATTGTCAAATATGGTTTCATCCTTGGTTCTATAAAAGGAAGTGATACATCTACACTTCTTTTTGCCCACATCCTGTACACTGTTTGATGGACAAGCTTTACATGAGCTTTCACTCGGTGTATATTGGAAGGTCCCGGATGGACAATCTGTGGAAAGAGCATTTAGCATCTGAAGCGATAAAGGGGATGAAAGGGATATGATATTTTGATTTATTATGATTTTGTAAACTAAGGTGGTTTATGTATAGTTTAAAACACAAGAGAGAGTGCTTTATCAGGTATAAATTTTCGAGCCGAAGGCGAGAATCTTTATACCTGATAAAACACGATCTCGAGTGTTTTTTTAAAAACGGCTTCAAAAACTCCAACACTAATTTGAAACTCAAATCCGTTAAAATTCTTGGAGAAATTGACGTACAAATATGTTCTGAGATAAATAGGGCAAACTGATCATCACTTTAAAAAGCACTGTTGTCATCCCACATTGAATACGCATAAAGTAAAATAGAACCGCTCTTGGCTGTTCACTGCAATCGGTTGACATCCTGCATTGGTCAATGATCAGGTTTCAAACCTGAGACCTTTGCTAGGGTCATGGACCTTTATATCTGATAAAGGTCACCCTTATTAGTAACCCTTATTAGTATTCTTTATATAAAGAATACTAATAAGGAGTGTTTTATCAGATATAAATGTCCATGCATGTGACCAAATAGGCTAATTCTATTGGCCTAATAACTCATTAATTATGTATGAGTTTTTGAAGCGATATGAACAGGCATCGTATAATGTTGCGTGGTAAAGAGCGACACCTTGAAGGAAGCGTTTTATTGTAAATACATGGTTATTATTTTAATAATAAATGCGATCAGTGACATTATTTGCCACATGAAGATAATGTTGTAATGATTTTTAAGATAGATAAGCCATGTATTCAAATTGCTCAGGCTGAAAATTAGTCGTATGTAATGAGGACTTTGAAAGGAAATTAAATAAAGGACCAAACCTTTGCACACTGCACCAGATCCATTGAAGTACCTTCCATAACCAGCTTTACACAAACACCCGCCACTTGCTGCATCACTGCTCCATTCACCGTTACTTTGACAGTGCCCATATAAGGTAGCATTGTTAGCCAATAGCTGACTATTCTCTGCACATGTGCCTGGTATCAGAATTGTACCATTAGTTGGGGCTATAGTTCGTGGCAGTTGGACAAGACCAGTAGGAAGAGCTATTGATGGACAGACCAAGTAACTGATGGTGACACCGTACAAGTCGAAACATCCTCCTCGATATTGTACAGCAAAGTAATGATACGGTGTGGAAGTGCTTGTAAGAAAAGAATGTGTTTCGGTATTCGGAAAACTTCGAGATGGAATTCCGTTACTTAAAATGGCTGCAGACGTGATTCCGAAAACCTGATAGTCATTGGGTTGCTTCCAAGGCTCCGGGATGGTATTAATACCGCCGGATGTATGCTGTGTTGTAGTCTTATAAACATAAAGGTTTAGTGTTTCCTTGCAGTTCTGTAGAGACGGCACACTAGAGCATTTAGTGACTGCATATTCAACAGTAACATCAATTCTTTTTGCATCACCAACCAGGAACACATTGCTTCTTATCCACTTGTTTGTATTACTATCTGAGGGTTCACATAGTTGATAAAATGGTTTTCCATCATCTTTCCGATCCCACTGTATTGAAAGTAAAACCAAATACACTGTAAACCATGTTTAAACCGTATCTTAAACATGTATGAATATGTCAGTTCTCACCATTTTTAACACTAAAAATTTGATAATCATGAAACGAACGAAAGCTCTTCTTTTATTCTTTATCGGATTTAAGTATTAAGTACCAGTATGAGTGATTTTTAAATCGGAAATTCTAAATGGTGTGAACATCCGCTCAAAATGATGCCCAGCATACTTCAATAATCAAAATCGTGGTGATATATTATCTCATTGCAGTGCAATTTCTGCTGTACCTGGCCGGTCCAAGACCATTTCCATTTAGACTGTGAATTCTTGATGCTAGGCACTTCAGTAATAGTATCTAATATAAACAAATGAATAAGTATCTAGGTCACATATGGTAATATAGATTCACATATGGTCCAGGAGTAACAAGCCTATCAGAAGCCTATCCACATTTGACGCACTCCATTGCGCCATACATATTAAAAATATACTTTTTTTGTAATTCATACCTTTTCCAGCTTCACTACATGCCATGAAGATAAGTACGAGAATAAAGCTTGAAGTATACATGCACTTCATGGTAACAAACAAACAACTGAAAAGACATTTACATTATCGAGCTATTTCTTAAACTAGTCAGTTAAAAGTAAAATTTATCGCGTATCTATCTCTTTATTGTCTCAGTTAACTATTGAAATATTGACTCATTTACCCTTTTATTTGATATATTTCACTGGAGCAAACGCAGGAAAACCATGATATAAAATCAAACTAAATACTAACAAATAGCGGCCATTTAGAAACAATTTGTCAGTATCAATGAACCAGAAAGCAATAAAGACGAATTAAAAGTGGGCCTATGTGGATTTTTCTTCATTGGGTTCTGGTTTATTGATACTGACACAAGTTGTCTCTAAATAGCCGCTATTTGTTAGTATTTAGTTTGATTTTATTTCATGGTTTTCCTGCGTTCGCTCTATTTATAACTGTAAAATGCTCATCTGCTTGACGTTTGTTATGCATGAATAGTATGGTTTCTGTGTGTGGTTTATTTTGACACAAATTTACATACTCGTGCTGTAGACTATGGTCCTCAAAGCTTCACAGATATTTATGAGTGCAAAATGATATTTCATAATGTTTGACTCAATTGACTAATGACTATTGATATACAACAAAGCTATCAATTAACCGATATGAGAAGGACTAAGTCTTATTTTTAGCTATTGTATATATTTTTTTGCGATTTGCTGATTAATAGTGTGAAAAATTGATTATTGGTATATAAGCATAACTGAAAAAATAGAAAAATTTCGTAGAAATATTTGCAAATTACTTTAAAATAAAATGTTGTATTTTTTGTTTGTATTTTAAATGGTTTTTAGTGTGAAAATTATCCATAATGCGGCCTAGAATACATAAGAAAGTATACTTAAAGTGTACTTACCTTCAAATTCTCACTGCTAAATGATTCGGTTTGCTTTATAAAGAAGTGCACTTTAAGTATACTATGATATTAACAGTACAAACTAAGTACATTAGCAAAATGTACTTCATTTATACTTAATGTTTAAAAGTATAAACAAAATATACTTCAAATGTACTTTTTTTGGGGGAAACTATGTGTATAGTATACTTGAAGTATACTGAATTCCTACAAGAGTATGGTCCTCAAAGCTTCACAGATATTTATGACTGCAAAATTATATTTCATAATGTTTGACTCAATTGACTAATGACTATTGATATACAACAAAGCTATCAATTAAAGGCAATGAGCCTGAATAAGGATGACAGAAATAATTGTGTAATTAATCGTTGACAATTTCCTTTTTGTTAACGAGACATATAATATTGACCTACCTCAAATTATAGTCTTCTTTCAAGACTGTTCCCAGCAGATTTTCAAAACAGATTGATCGAATGTATAACATAAAGCAATCATTCTGCACTATCATCAATACCTTTCAGCTTTCGTTAGGATCTGTTATATATGAAGAAACGAGCTCTTACTGGACGGTGAGTGATTTACCCGGAAGCTTTTTATGCATTGCTGTTATTTCCGTAGCACAGGGCACAGGAAGCCCATGACTTGCATGGTATGTGGTTACGGCGTGAGATACAAGGAGAACAGAGTGATGATTGGATAAAGTGAGAAATGACTGAAGAGATGCATAAGACCAATTAATGAAGAGGTAAGATTTCCTTTGTGTATTATCAAATACGTAAAATAAGATATATGTTTTCTTTGATATGTTTGATTTGAAACTGACGGAAAACCGTACAAAAACTTTGTATGTCACATGTGAATGCGTGAACTCGAGTTTGCTACTCGATCCTACTATATACTGTATGCACTTTTACTCAAAGTTTGATTTATTGCAGCTTAGAAGGAAAGCTGCAATTACAGTGATGTTAAACTTATTGGGATTTCATTCCGACTGAATCTGGGAGCGCTAAGATGTTATTGTGATGATGGGTAGTTCTCATCGAAAGAGCAGTCAAGGTCAGTCTAGCTATTTTCGTGTTTTGACAATTATTCTACAAATTTTCCATGAGTGTGCTATGAGATGATGCTCCATTATGCCAAACTTTCTGCAAGCCGTCCATTTATTTTTAAAGGACATCGAAGTTGACGTACAAAGCATCTTCAAACACGTCAAGGTTGATATAATCCTGAAACAAAAAGGAAATTTTAGTTCTTTATATAAAAATCGTTAAGTTTCGATTCGCATTGATTTGTGTGAGGGGTTTTAACTAGAGCTTTATTGAGATAAAAATAAAACMGAGAGTTAGTTGTTTGGCACGAATTCTTAAAATGTACATTCAGTGATTTTATATAATCTTCACTTGCTCTTGTATAATCAAGGAAACACACCTTGGTTGTGTTATAGTATTGGTTGACTTCATCACATATCATTGTAAAGGAAGGTCTGTCCTCGGGTTTGTCTTGCCAGCATCTCAACATCATTGAGTATCTGAAATAATATGAAGAAAGTATGACAATGATATGTTAATTGTTAGCTGACTATTGAGTCATGCCTTGTGAATCTTATAATTGTGACACATGCTTAATCTAGTTATGGCTGAATTCGTGGCCCATGAGTGAGACCGCTGTCTGTTTGTAACTATGACTTTTGAAATTTATGCCATTTGAATACTTATGCCAGTTCTGGACGAATCCAGTGTTCATGAATGAGATGGATTGAGTCTGTTACCAATGAATTCATTGACAATGAATAATCACATCCATAGACTAAGAACTTTATTAAAACATTGACTTGAATTCATAGTCCATGAGTCAGACTTATATGTTCACTAATGTAATCGTATGAGGAAGTGGCTGATCCCATTAAAGAGTGCTCAATACACATAAAGTGTAGAGCTAGTTATATATATGATATCAAAGAGGCAAGATTTTGCTGTAACTCCGAGTTTCTTGCTACGCACTCATCAGAAAGTATTTAATACTGATTATTACAGATTAAATACTGTGTGTTGAGTGCGTAGCACGAAACTCGGAAATACAGCAAAATCTTGCCTCTTTGATATCATATATATGTTCACTAATGTATATAAAAAAATCTAGTAACATTGGCCTCGCATTTTTCTCAAAAATCCTTATATGAGCAACTAATGTGTGGGAAAGTTATGACTCTTTCAGTCATTTCTTTTAAAGAAAAAAATATCTATGTTTAAGACTGTTAAGGCCCATGTACATACGGTTGTTACTATACGTTGTAAAATTTATATCAAACTCAATCAATTCATTTTTATAATCTTATGATCAAGTAGCTTCCAATATGTATATTCAACTCACAGATTCTCTGATAGGTGGAGTGGCTTTGGCATTCTGTAGCCTTGTTGCAGCAGTCTTGGTATGTCTTTCCCGTTGTGTTTAGGATAAGGAGAATCACCTGATTGAAGACACAGCAACAAATGTGACATCAGTATTAAAGATTTTTCCTATTTTAAGGGAAGTATTAGTCATTTATCCATATTTGAATAAC